ACGCCGGCTATTTTCTGATGCTATTCCTCATGTTTCTCTTCTGCCTCGACTGTTACGTTTGGACGTGTAACAAGATCAACTATCCGTTCATATTCGAGTTTGACACGAGGAATAGCTTGGACTGGAGACAATTATCAAGCTTTCCGAGTTTCTTCTTATTACTTTTCGGAATATTCTTCTGGGTAAACTTCACCAGATACGGCTCCGATGAGTTGTATTTATATTATCCAGTAATATTAATAGGCATCACACTCTTGATTCTTTTACTACCAGCACCGGTTCTATGGCATAGGAGCCGCCAATGGCTGGTGTATTCTCATGTAAGTCACTTGTCCGAAAATCTATAGCCTAGGTCTGACCTCTTCAAGTACCGTTTATTCTTCGCAGGATTATACCCCGTCGAGTTTCGGGACTTCTTTCTCGGCGACATGTACTGCTCCCTGACTTACGCTACCTCAGTAAGTGAAGACAACCACCGAATCATGAACTATTTTATTAGCTAACATTGAAATAAGAATATTGAACTTTTCTTCTGTCTCTATGCGCATTATTGGAATAATCCCGTCCAATGTAACTCGAATAATTCCCGCCTACTGGGATTTTTCTCGGCGCTTCCACCAATATGGCGTGCGCTACAGTGCATTCGTCGTTATCGCGATACCGGAAACGTCTTCCCGCATCTCGTCAACGGCGGCAAGTACGGCATGACCATCATGTCGTCTGTGACGCTATCGCTATATCGTATGAGAGCCACTCAGTCCAATCTCGGACTGTTCGTCACTTTCTCGACCATGAACGGCATTTACACCTGTAAGTTTTGCGATTAGCTCGCTGTCCCTATCGTCTTGCGTGTTGATCTTTAGTCTAACACGAAATCTGTAGCAATCTGGGATCTGTTTATGGATTTCTCCTTCTTCCAGCCCGAAACGCGCCACCGATTTCTGCGCGATATCCTCGGGCTCAAGCGTCGGTGGATGTACTATGTTATCATGGTACTAGACCCTATCCTCCGCTTCGGCTGGGTATTCTATGCCATCTTCACGCACAATAAGCAGCATAGCACCCTCGTTTCATTTCTCGTCGCCTTGGCAGAAGTCACCCGCCGTGGCATGTGGGCATTGTTCCGTGTCGAGAACGAGCACTGCGGTAACGTCGCCCAGTACAAGGCTAGTCGCGACATTCCCTTGCCCTACCCTCTACACAACCACGAACCGCTTGTCGAGCGCGTGAGCACGGATGAGGAAGAACAACGGCAGGCTAAAGCACCCCCGCCCCCACGCATACCTAGTAACGTACTGCCTGTCGAAGGAGCAACCGCAAGCTCAATCGATATCAGCACGGCAGGTGCCTCTGCCCTCGGCCGCGAACAATCCGGCGCCCAGGCACAGCCTCAAGCGCAGGAGCAAACAGAGGGAGGCACAATGCGGTGGCGTCGCAGACCCGAGGTCCTGCGCGCACGGTCCATCCGTGGCATCATGGCCGACGCGCACAGGCAGGATTTTGAGAAGCGGCGGCGGCCGCTTGAGCCCGCGCCCTCGGAAAACGAGGCTGATTTGGTAGAAGAAGACGTGCCGAGCGAGGAGGACGAAGAAGATGACGACGATGATGATACGGGAAGTATCATGGATGAGCGCATGGAAGCTAGACGATCTGAAGGGTTGACTAAAGCTGAGACTGGGAGGACTAGCGAGTGAGCGTTAGGATTTTAGAGGGTGAATTCAGGTTGGGTTTGAATAGAAATAGGATTAGACAGGCTTGGGTAATTTATAATCTGCGATGTTTGGCTCGGATGAGGATTCTACTAGGAGCGATATTCGGTGCATTTTGTTTCATGACGTTGAGAGCAGAGGTGAATAAATGACATACTATGGTATCCAGAAGCAAATTTGGAACCGTAATGTCAACACAACACATCCTCACCGACTACGCTCCTAAGCCTCAAGAGAACACTCACAAATCCTATCTACATCCAAATCAAAACTCATCTGGCGAAGAACGTACCTACCCCCTATCTCCTCATCCCCTAATCCTCTCAAACCGCACAAACAGCCCATCCGCCGGCCTCAACGTCAAACTCGGATTCGCCAACTTCACTCCTCGACCAACCTTCTCCTCACCCCCCGTCAACAACTCCCCATCCTCCCCATCATTTCCATCCCTCCTATTCCTCTCGATCCCAAGGAACCGAAACCTCGGCACCAGCTCCACGAGCACGGCCTTGACGACCACGATGGCGAAGTTGCGCCCCGGACACGTGCGCGGGCCCTGCAGGAACGCTTCGAAGGCGAAGGGCGAGGCCGCGTCCCCCGTTAGCCGGTCCCAGCGATCTGGGTCGAAGGCGCTGGCGTCGGGACCCCAGATCGAGGGACGCTGGTGTGTGAGGGGGATGATGAGGTCGATTTGCGTGCCCTTTGGTATGGGCGTGTTTTCGATTATTAGGTCTCGGGTTGCTTCGCGTTGGGCCATGTACGCTGTGGTGGGTTAGTTGGTAGGTTCGGGGGTTCGGGGGTGTTTGGGGCGTTAGTAGGGGAAAGGAGGAGTTGGGGGGGGGGGGGGGGGGGAACGTACATGGAGGAAAGACACGGAGGATCTCGCGGAGGAAGTTGTGGAGAAATGGTAGCCCGAATATCGAGTCGTAGTCGGGCTCCGGGTTTGTCTTTAATAGGGAATTAATCTCGGATCGTAGCCGATCTTGTATAGAAGGGTTCGTTGCGAGAATATACAGACACCATGATATAGTAGTCGCCGAGCTTTCATGACCTAGAAATGACAAATGGTGAGTTGTTTATATAATCTCATAGCTGATACAAAGGTAGTGAGAGTCTAACCTGCAGATGTGAAATTCAGAAGCTAGAGAAACATAAGATTGTCAGCGTTGCTCTAATAGGATGGGAAATACTGGGTCTTTCTCACATGGCCGATGATATCGTCTACAGTCCAAACTTCCTTCCCTGTCTCCTGCCGGCGTAATTCAGCTTCTTCCAGCATGTACGTCAAAAGATCTCTCGACTCTCCCATTTCCTTCGTGTATGTCCCGTCTGCTAAGTCTGCTGTGCGCTTCTGGATGATATCCCGCAGCATCTTTCTTAGGTCGGTTGTAGCCTGGATAAATTTATGATTCGCCTCTAAGGGAACAATGCCTCGGATCGGTATGAAAGCATTAACAACCGAAATTAACTGGCCTACAGCTCCTTGGTGAAGGATCCGGCTATAGAGCTCCTGGAAACCCAGTGGATACATCGATGATAAGGTCTCTAACTCAATTCCTAGAACTGTTACACCGATAGTATCCATAGTTGACTTAGATAAAATCTCAATCGCTATAGAAAGAGTTAATCATAAGATAGTCAGGATCTCTACGGACGCATTCAGTCTGTAGCGTACCTTCCACGGCGGCGTGAGGTTTGTCCCCCAGTATATCTTCGAAAACCGCTGATATGTCCTTCGCTTTTTCTCGAAATACGGGCAGAAGCTTCCTCATGCTCGGGACCGAGAAGGGCCCTGCTAACAATCTTCGCTCGCGCTTATGATGCTCTCCTTCTGCGAATAACAACCCCACGCCGGTGATCTCGCCGACTAGCCGCGCAAAGAACGGCGGTTTGACAAAATCATACACGTAGGTCTGCAGAACAGCCTTATGCGCAGCCAAGCTGTTCACAAGAAGAACCTCTTTGCCTGCGAATGAGACGTACCTGATGAATGGTGCGTCGGGCCATTTACGCATCCATTCTAATTGAACACTAACGGGGCTCTCGGCTTTGAATTTCTTCACTTCTTGTCCGAGGATAAGGTTATGATCCTGGAAGTTTGGTTAGAGCGATGCAATGCTATCCATAGAACTTGTAGATATCATTCATACCTTTGGTCCTGGTAGATGCCTGAGTGGCGAGAAGAAATTGGGATATAGTACAACACGGTAAATTTTGAGTAAAACATATTGCACGAGAAGCCCGACGAAGAACTTCTTCAAGTTTGATAACTCGTAAAGTTCCCTACCAGGGCTGAGCGCGATTAGTTCTAGCGTTGTCAGTCCGGCGCAGATGATGATATCCATTTCGAAGTTACAGGAATGTATGAGAGCCAACCCGAAGGGTAAATAGAAAAAAAATTCACATATAAATAAGGATGAAATTGTTACTATATAGATAGTAACGCCATGCTCAGCTCACATGTTACTATTAAATTAGAGCAGGGAATAAGCGGTGTCTGTGGTCGAGTTCCCCGATAAGATTGGCCATCTTGAAAGGCACATGGAATCGCCAATATTATGCGATACTCTAAGGTGGATTCTCTGGAGTAATGGCAGAAGAATGCGAGAGCTAGAGCTGACCTATTCAAGGCAAGCTAGCCACATAATAGATGTTGATATCCACTAGATACCGTAAGCACCTTTTTTCTTGGTGCGATTCGTTGCCTCGCTACTTGGCTGATTTGGTTATCTTGGGGTTGAATGGAACATCAAGGGCTGCAGAAGACGATGGTCTCTAACCACACTGGATAAGATGTTTTTCTATTCTTGAGGTGGATCCCAAGCGAAGTAAAAAGAATCTTAGGTACCTATATTCTCTGTAAGATGAGGAAACAAAAGAGTTCGATACTACACTTCAAGACCTATCACTTAAACGTGAAAATCTGAATCAGTGATGGCGTCAGCCAGAATTCGGGTATGAACGGCATCGCCATTAGATACTAGAAGTAGCGGTGTCTGTGTACTGTAATGTAGCTCGTATAGAGTAGGCTGCCAAATCTGTAAATAGCCCTTATGTATGTATTGGCTTGATAATCCATGTGAACGACGCTTTCAAGATGATAGTAGTCTAGAGAACCTGAACTTGAGTGATCGGAGCATCCACGGCGGCAGGACGGGAAAATACCGACCTGCCCCGCATTATCTAACGGGCTAGAGAGCCAGTCGGCTTACTCCATTCGTCCCAACTCTTGTCGGCGGCTTCTTGTTTAGCAAGAACGAAAATTTTCACCACAGCTGCATAGCGATGAATGGTGAGATGGCCGAGTTGGTCTATGGCGCTAGGTTAAGGTCTCAATCTTAACAAAGATTTCCTAGTGGAGAAATCCGCGTGGGTTCGAATCCCACTCTCATCAATAATTTTTTGCTGTTTACATTGACCATCAGTCCCATTGTTATTTGTCTTTTTATTCTTTTTATTTCCCCTTCAAACTTATCATTCTCTCCTGTAACTTGACACAGTGCTACTTGCCGAGATACAAATTATTTCTGCGACAACCGTTTAACCTGTGGTGTAGTAGCTACGTCTGAGGAAATAGATGGGTTTGCTGACCATACTTTAGGTACATTACCAAAATTTTGTAGTTCTTTTCCTCTATTTTCTCGAGCTAGTCGCTCCTGTTCTACATACTTGATTCACGATTAAGACACTATCTCTTCCATCAACAACTAGGACAACGGTGAGATGGCCGAGTTGGTTATGGCGTGAGGTTAAGGTCACCTTAGCATTCTAATGCATCTAGCATCTATGTAATTCCTCATGGAGCAATCCGCGTGGGTTCAAGTCCCACTCTCATCATCATTCATACCTATGTTTCTGTTCTTAAACAATTTTTTTTTTTTGCTTTTTGTGACATTAATACCCGCGGAATGATCAATTTGAAGTTGAAATTAAGCTCACGGCCTTTCTACTAAAGCTCGAAGAAATAGTAAAGAACGATGTCGCCCGCTCCTAGGCATATTTGTTGCTGGTAGTCATTTCTTCTTTCTATGCCGAGAATTCGATCTCTATTTGGGAATCATGTTCCTGCGCACGAGAACCCTAGGTGGGGTCGGCAAGTACCTAACCCCCCCTGTAACGGCATCCAGCTGGTGGATCTTAGGGGCTATGATCTAGGTCATCTGCAAGGGGTAGTAGCAGCTGATAACGTCTTATCAGTCGCAATCACGGATTGCTTTAGCTGGTGCGATTCCGGCTATGTTGACTTCATCCCCAACCTCTTCCCTAGGCTGCCTAGTTCACCTAAGCCACCTTTCTACTCTTCTGATTCTTCTATTTAAGTGACAATCAGCATCCGGTTACAATCCATCATCTAGGAATCTACGAGTTTGAGCATGACACGACACACTTCCGATTTCTTGCGTCAGCGCAGCTCCAACTTGTCTCTCCGAAGCGCGGCAGCGGTGAACTCTGTAACCATGTCTCGATTGTCAAGTTTCGCCAACCCTGCCGACTTCGAAAATGGACAGGCCATATCCGACCCTGAAAAGGCATTTATCGTAAGCGACTTGGCTCGCTCTAGTGGACCGTTGACCCTTTGCGATTCTTGTAGCCGAGATATCCCAGACCATCGCATCGGATCCCGCCCCTTCACACGCGTCGAAGACCGAAACTCGTGTTCCGTGTGCCATGTCCTCTTGACGAAGCCCGAGGCTTTTACCGAACCATTCTGCAAATTCTTGCAGGAGAACCCGACCGTATTCCACGCTGTTGGCTATTTCAAAGACAAAATGACGTCGCTTGGCTATAAGGAGGTTGGTGTTCCTAGTTGCTACTCTCGAGATGGATTGAGCTAACCATCGCCCCTAAGCTTCCTGCACGGGACGATTGGTCTGGCAAACTCGAGGCTGGCGCCAAGTATTTCGTGACTCGAAACGGGAGCTCTGTTATTGCTTTCACGGTTGGAAAAGCGTATAAACCTGGCAACGGTGTGGCTATGGTTGCAGGCCACATTGATGCCTTAACAGCGAGGCTGAAACCCGTTAGTAATAAGCCGACCAAGCACGGATACATTCAGCTAGGCGTCGCTCCCTATGCAGGAGCTCTGAATGAGACCTGGTGGGATCGCGATCTTAGCATTGGAGGTAGAGTTATTGTACGGGATGAGTCGGGAAAGACTTCAAGCAAGCTTGTCAAGCTTGACTGGCCCAGTAAGCATGTCTCATGCGAAGCGAAAATGGATTTTCTAGCTAATTGAATACAGTTGCTCGTATACCGACTCTGGCTCCCCATTTTGGAGTCGGTATGATGGGTCAGAATAACAAGGAGACCGAGGCAGTGCCAATTATTGGACTCGACAATTCTGACATTTCATCCTCGGGCGCTAAGCCAATTGAGCCCCTTGGTACACCTGGATCGTTCGCGGCCACTCAACCACCGAGACTCGTCCAATTAATCTCAAAACAACTGGGCATCAAAGACTATTCGCAAATTGTGAATTGGGAACTAGAGCTGTTCGATCTTCAACCTGCGACCGTAGGTGGAATGGACAAGGAGTTCATCTTTGCTGGAAGAATTGATGATAAACTGTGCAGTTGGTCTGCGCTCCAGGGACTTCTGGCCTCGGAGACAAACGATGATGATGGAGTTATAAAATTAGTTGCTCTCTTTGATGATGAAGAGATTGGCTCTTTACTTCGCCAAGGTGCAAGGGGCAATTTCCTACCATTTACCATCGAGAGAGCCGTCGAGGCGCTATGCGGAGCGACGGACAAGACATTTGGCCCTGGTGTTGTAGGCCAAACATACGCTCGATCTTTCCTCGTGTCTGCCGACGTCACTCATGCCGTAAACCCGAACTTCCTCGGTCGCTACCTAGAAGATCATACGCCTCGTCTGAACGTTGGAATTTCCATCGCTGCAGACAGTAACGGCCACATGACTACGGATGCGGTGTCGACGGCTATTGTCACCAGAGTTTGTGAGTTAAGCGACTGCACACCACAAGTTTTCCAGATCCGAAACGACTCCCGAAGCGGTGGCACAGTCGGGCCTATGTTGAGCAGTGCTATGGGTGTAAAAGCCATTGATGCGGGAATGGCCCAACTCAGCATGCACTCGATTCGTGCTACATGCGGATCTCTCGATCCCGGCCTGGGTGTCAAATTCTTCAAGGGATTCCTTGATAAATGGGAAAAGGTCGACGCGGAGTGGCAATGAGATTAACGCCTACCTGCGAACTTATTATTGCTAGAGTGTACAAATATGCATGCCAACATCTGTCGGGTTGGCTTCGGCGAGCCCATTGATTGGATCTCTTAAGTTGCCAGAATCCGGTTGTTTAGAGCGGATGATTTCTCCATAGACGTAGTAATATGTACACATATCGTTCAGAATGAATTAGGCATATGTCCACGCGATATCTTATGATGGTGTACCTGGATAACGTAAGCAATATCTGGGGAAATTTATTGCCACCTGCAGGAACTGAGAAGCCATTCAGAACGGGATCCCCTTCACATGCTAAATGCAGAATGATGCAATCAAGGACCCGCCATGGGGGGAACATTGAGTTTTGATCGGTGCGCTACGTGCGACCTAGCTCGATTATAGACTTATTTTCGGAAACCCATTGTGAATAAGCACGAGATACTGTCGTGTGATCAATATTGATTCAAAATATGTAAACCACATATATGGGAATTTCTTGAAGGCATTACTTGTTGCATAACCCAGTTAGCTATTGATGGAACCCGCCTCAAGGCTTCGTATATCTGGGAGAGATTCACAAGTAAAATGATGACGTGTTTCGGAGCTAAAGCAGTTGAAATGACGGGGAATTGTAGGTTGCTATTGGCTCGTTCCTTTTATTTTTTTGCCAATGCGTATCGGTCACGATGTCTACTTCCAGTACTTCCCGTACTTCCCGTACGCCCACTTAATCTTTGTGCTTCTACAATTTACATACTTTATAGACTGTTTTAATAAGGCAAACATTCGCCTGGGTATTTTGTGAAACATTCTCACGGCTTCTGATTAGACCTTCGTTTCTGTACATTTGTGGAAGCAACCTTGGAGCCAAGTGACGAGGCTGTGTTCGGTCAACTAATAATTCTCTCCTTCTCCTAGCGCCGGCGAACTCTTGAGGTTAATTCTTTGATCTTCAAGAACGACTTTTTGGAAAATAAACATCTTCATACGTATTACCAATAATAGATCTCCCTGAGCCACTCGTTTCTACGGTATCGGAGGCGCGAATCGTCGACCCGGCAGACCCGGTTCTGACCTTGCTACGAAACATTTCATCCGAGTACCAACAAAGACAATATTGAATGCTAGTAATAATCCATGGCGCAGCCAGCAAATCCTTCGAGCACCGACAAGTGGAGCTCCTTGCTCTCACGGTTGAACCCAGTCCCGGGTTTTGCAGACTACACTGGTCCCTACAAAGTCGGCACCGTCGACGTTGAGATCCCTGTCTCGGAGCTCGAGTCTCCAGCCCCGGCACCGCCCAATGCCGCCGACATTGAGACAATCCAGTTCCGGATATTCTATCCCGCACATCCGGATGCTCAGGGAAAGCGCATAACGTGGCTACCGGCCCCGCAGCGGGAGCATCTGTCTGCGTACGTCCAGTTCTTGGGGGTTGGGCAACTACTGGCTAATGCTGTTTCGTGAGTCGATGTGCACACTGGATCTAGTGCTCGTATTAATGTTTATATATAGCTTCTTACCGAGACATCTACACTACACCACGATACCCGTCGTTAAGAATGCCATGGTACTCGAACCCAACACCCCGAACAAGCGATGGCCGACTGCCATCTTCTCACACGGCTTAGGCGGTAGCAGAAATGCATATTCGCAGATAGTAGGGTCGCTCGCGTCTCACGGCGTCGTGGTCATATGTCCAGAACATAGAGATGGAAGTGCTGTTGCGTCTTTCATCCGTATCCCTTCTCAACAGAACAGGTACTTCGTGCGTAACACCCGCCGTATGGTCCCGTATAACCGAATCAGTCATGATCCCTCTGACGAAGTATACGCCCTACGCAACGACCAATTGCGTATACGACTATGGGAGATGGGCCTGATACACGAGGCTATACTAGGAATTGATAAAGGTGTGGCATTGACAAACCTAAACAAGAGCACGCCGTCTCTCGCCCATTTCGTGGGAAAACTACACGTCCACGAGCCGGGTAGCATCATTTTTGCTGGCCACAGCTTTGGTTCGGCTACTATGGTCCAGTTCCTTAAGTCCGTCTTCTACGCCGGTCGCCCCGAGCTGGAGAATATGGAGGACCAACTATACGTGCCGTCCCGCGAGTCTTCGATCTACAGACAGATCACGCCGCAGAACGTCACCATCCTACTCGACATGTGGTGCATGCCACTCCTCGCCCCGACCACCAA